CTCCCACCCCCCGCCTGCCACCGCGGATGCCCGTAGACTCCGCCGTGGTCCTTGACCGCCTGGATTTGTGCCTCTCTCGACTCGTCGCCGGCGCACAACCGGTAGATCTGAGGATGCCGCCGCCGGATTTGACGCATCCGCCCACCACCGTTTGCGCCTTTGCCATGGATTGGTCGGATACAGGACCATATAGCCCCGACAACGCCTCTGCGCCGCATGCAGGTATTGACTCAGCCTTTAGCCGTTCAGATATCTCCCGTCGGCGGTTCGCCGGCAAAGAAACGCCTGGCCGTCGCTCGGGTTCGGCGCTAGCCCGGCATCTCGTCGGCTCCCCGTTGCCGGTCATAAAGTGTGACGACTGCCCGCGACAGGTGGTGCGCCGAGTTTCCGCCGCGCCGGAACATCTCAAATGGGTGTTCTGCAAGTGCAAAAAAGATTGGGTATGTGCTTCTTTTGATTCAGTTGTTCACCAGATTCGGTGCAATTTGGGTAGCTCATTGCTTGCTCAAATTTGTGTGTAGGATGGATGCAAGTTTTGATATTGGGAAGAAGATTACACTGATCCATTGATAGCACAAAATTTAATAGATACTTGTGCATTGGTTGCTAGAATAGAGGCAAGAGATGAGACTAGATGCGAAGCAACTTCGAATTTGTCGGAATCGAGTAAGAAAGAAGTGTGCAATATCGAGTAGCCAATAGAGAGAATCAACAATGAAAACGTAGAGATGATATTAAGCCAACTAGTAGAAGCAATTATGAAAGTTGGATATCTTTTAAAGTGTCTAATTGTGGTTTTTGTTTTCTTTGGTTTTGCTCTCGTAGCGAAGAATTGATGAATTATGTACTCCAATGTATCAAAATATCGTTAAATAAAATAATAAAGAAGCAAAGAAATGTGTTTCCGTGGCCGAAAATGAAATGCAAAATGAAAAAAAACTACATTATATATAGGATTGGTTAGGTCCGGCAAAAAATTAGTGAAATAAAAATACTCCATTATGGATTTATTCTTCGGATTATCCACCATTTTTTAGGGGATCGTTCAGGGTTGCCCTTATAACTGTACAAGTGTTGTTGCTCATAAATCCACCGTACCGTTTATTCCAAATCCAAAGGCTTTCGTTTCTCTTCCTTCATTTATGTTAGCAATAGAAGAAATGCACCTCTCTGACGGTCACGGCGGTCCTCAAACTCCATACGCACCATCGGTAGGTGATCACATAAACACCCGATTATATCCAAGGAGGATGCATCCGACGCAAATAATCAAAGGGTGGCCCAGGCCAATGACTTAGAGACCTCCTATAATACGGGGGCATCATCACCTTGAGTATAAGAAATCTATATCTATATTTATTCTATATCTATACTTCTATATCTATATCTATATATCTATATCTATATCTATCTATTTTTTCAAAAACTTTTATTTTTTTCAAAATTGTTTGAGATTTTAAAAAGAAAATCGCATTTAAAAAATGCCCCAAATTCGGAAAATATTCTTGTTTTAGTGAAACTTTCACCATTCAAAATAATATTAAAAGATACACATTTTTGAAAAATGTTATGAATTTTCAACACATGTTCCCGTTCTACAAAAATATTCAAAATTCAAATAATGTTCATGATTTATTAAAAAAAGGTTGGTGTTTTCAACAATTGTTTGTGAATTTTAAAAGATGTTCCTTTTTCAAATTTTGTTTGCATTTTTCTAAAAGTGTACACAATTTAAACAAATCTTCAGGATTTAAAAAATGGTTCATGTTTCGTACAATATTCAGAATTTATAATTTTTTCAAGAACTTTTATTGTTTTTCAAAATTGTTTGAGATTTCTAAAAAGAAAAGGGCAATTGAATAAATGCTCCAAATTCGGAAAATATTCTTGTTTTAGTGAAATTTTCACAATTCAAAATAATGTTAAAAGATACACATTTTTGAAAAATGTTATGAATTTTCAACCCATGTTCCCGTTCTAAAAAATGTTCACAAATTCAAATAATTTTTGGTGTTTTTAAAAAATGTTTGTGAATTTCAGAAGATGTTCCTGCTTCAAATTTTGTTCGTGTTTTTCTAAAAGTGTACATGATTTAAAAAAACTATTTAGAATTTTAAAATGGTTCATGTTTCGTACAATACTCAGAAACTTTATACCTTAAAATCTTCTTGATTAAAAGGAAAAGTAGATTGAATAATTCATGGGCCTTCTCTGGCGTACGATGACGTAACAAAGCTGTTAAATGCCCTCGATCAATGAATGAAAAATAGCGGATTGGTTACTTCACACCCGGCGAAACTGAGAAGCTAAATGTTCCTTATTCACATGCACACATGGTTTTGCTTGCACATATAATTCTCACTAACTTTAAATGCATACTATTTTTTCTCCCGTTGCAACGCATGGGCATATGTGCTAGTTACTCCTATAAAGGGTGTTTGAGTACCCGCCTTCTTGGGGCATCCTCACTCGCGAGTGCCCTTCTCACCATTCGATCCACGTGCATCTCGCGTCGATGCATGTCTGGCGCCCTCCCCGCTGTCTGATTGGCCATGGGTGCTCCTCATCGAGCCAAGGTCCTAGGGGGTCCATGGCGTGTGGGTTGCGGGCGCGCTCGAGGTCACATTTTGTGGGGGTTTTCATTGCGTTTGCGTGTGCGCTTCGTGCTCTGGTCCGCATGCGTCGGGTGATCCCAGGTCACATGTCAGCATCGTTCATTTCATGTCGTGTTGTTTTGTTTGCGTGAGCCGGATATGTGAATGCACCGAGATCGGATGTTGCATGGCTGCCCTTGCTGTGTGGGGTTGTGAGAGCAGCCCGGGCGACCTTGTGATGTATAATACACAACTTTATTCTTGTAGACTCATGTTGGGCCTCCAAGCGCAGAGTTTTGTAGGACAGTAGCAATTTTCCCTCAAGTGGATGACTTAAGGTTTATCAATCCGTGGGAGGCGTAGGATGAAGATGGTCTCTCTCAAACAACCATGCAACCAAATAACAAAGAGTCTCTTGATTTTTGTAATAGGAACAATAAAAAATAGCAAGATAGCAAGTAAAAAAAATTGAGCACAAACGGTATTGCAATGCTTGAAAATGAGGCCTAGGGTCCGTATTTTCGCTAGTGCAATCTCTCAACAATGCTAATACAATTGGATCATACAACCATCCCTCAACGTGCGATAAAGAATCACTCTAAAGTTCTTATCTAGCGGAGAAATAAGTAGAAATTGTTTGTAGGGTACGAAACCACCTCAAAGTTATCCTTTCCGATCGATCTATCCAAGAGTTCGTACTAAAATAACACTAAGTTATCCTTTCCAATTTATCTACCTAAGAGTTCGTACTAAAATAACACCATATGATACACATCAACCAACTCTAATGTCACCTAGATACTCCAATGTCACCACGAATATCTGTGACTTAATTATACGATATGCATCAAACAATTTCAGATTCATAATACTCAATATAACACAAAGAATCTCAAAGAGTGCCCCAAGATTTCTATCAGAGAAACAAGGACGATAATATGCATCAATCCCTATGCATAGATTACCCCAATGTCACCCCGGGAAT